AAAAGCCAGTTTGATGTATATATATAATTTATTTGCGGTCACAGACCAAAATGCAAGTGCAACAGGAAAAAAAACACAAGAAAAATATAATCACAAACATTTAAACACCAGAAGCCTTGGCTAAAGGGAATTACATAGTTCTCCTCTAATAGTTACAGCTCTTAAAAGAAATTTAGAAACCTGAGAAGTAATATAGGGGGAACCATCCCCCAGACAATATAGGACCAAATTACTAACATTGGAACCATAGGGATCAATTCCAAGGAGAGACAATAATTTAATTCTGCCTGTGTTATACATAGGTCAGTATGATAAGACATGCTCCACAGTTTCAACTTCAGCCCTATCACAGGGGCATAGTCGCTCACTAAACAGGAGCCTCTTGAATCACCCATCAAGTAGAGCTGAGGGCAAGACATTGAAACGGGCTAGGGAAAAGACTCTTCTATAATTGGGGATGGTTAGAGTATAGAAATATGAAGCCATCCTCAATCCATAATTATTAGAATGGCTGAAGATCAAAGGGGAGCAGGTTTTGTTAGCTCTGGCTCTTAAATATTGCAAATCTATGTCCACAAGCCGTTGGACTACCCTAAACTGGGCGTCCTTGAGACCATAATCTCCCAGAGCATCCCCCATAAAACCTAGCAAGTGGAGTTTCTTCGTCAACTCCCTCTCCCAACGAGAGGTATGAGAGTCAGCAAACACCAGGGAGAGGTAGCTACCAGGGACTGCCAGTTTGATGTAGTGGTTAAGGCCCCAGTCTAGAAACTGGGAAACAGTTCTAGTCCCGCCTTAGGAACAAGGCCAGTTGGGTGACCTTGGGCAAGCATCAGGTGCAAAATATCCACACATGAAGATCCAATTAAACTGATTACTCCTAAAAAACCTATGCATAGGACTCTAACATAGGTGTGGGGCTGGGGTTATTATTTTTAATTTTTATTTTATTTTCTATATTGGGTTTTCATGACTTATAGCCACCTAGAGTCGCTGTAAGCAAGTAGGCTGCCATATAAACTTCCTAAATAAATAAGATAAATAAGTATTCTCAATTAACAGTTAGCATGCTGTTGGGGTTAGATAAAGATCCATGGAATTCAAGAAAGGTTGAACTTAGTCCTCTTGTGGCTATATAGCAGGGGTGTCAAACTGCCGGCCCATGGGCAGGATGCATCATAGTGAAACCACGCCCACCCCATTGTCGGCAATGGCAAAAAGGTCACGATACGTCGTGACACGTCACGTGACGTTGTGAGTTTGACACTCCTGCTGTATAGAGGGATTCTAGGCTGATCCCTCTTTTAACTCAGGTTCCATCACTTCCTCTTTTACAATTAGTCACTTTCTCTCAGCCCTAGGAAGGAGTCAGTGGCAAATCACTTCTGCAAAACCTTGCCAAGAAAACTGCAGGGACTTGTGAATCAGACATGATTAAGTAGTAGAAAAAAAACCACTCCCCTTATAAATAGGACTTCCATTATATTAACAGCTGTAAGTATTCACTGAAGTCAAAGAACAGTTGTATCCACAATTCTGAATATACACAAGCAAGCAGGTTAAATTTAGGGTCAAAAAATGTCCTTTTCATCAAGGTGAGTAAAGATCCTCACCGCATTATAACCAGGTCTAAGGGCAAGGCTGCTATGACAATAACACAAATGCAGGTGATGAAGTCCATTAGAAAAAACAGAGAGACCACCAAGGAGTGGGTAATCTTGGAGAGGACAGCTGTAAATTAGCTTTTCAAACAGACTTAAACTACAACATCCACAATTTCCAATGCTGCAGTTCAGTCCTTTTGGGGCGACTTCATCTCCAAAATGGATGTTTTTCTCAATCTTCTCCAGCCCCATTTCCCCAGCCCATCTTTGAGAGATGCTACAGTATGTCTTCTCCAGACCTCTATTTGAAATGGTCAGAATTGGATCCAGAGCAAAACGAAAAACACTAAAGATTTTTCTGCGATGAATATCTGAATGGATATTAGTGTCTGGAACAGCAGCTAGAAGTAGCAAAAAGAAAATAAAAGAAATCAGGTGAACTAGAAATTCAGCAATTCAGTTTTCCAATTTGTCTGCCCTCAGTATGTTATTGAGCTGGAATGGATGAGGAGTAATGTACAGTATTCTTTGAAAAGAAACATATAGCAGGGACATCAATTTCCAAGTATTTTCAAGATGAATTTTTAAAAAAAGGATCCCATAAAAGGGCGTTATTATGTATAGCCCTTTAAATTAAAACAGCAATTTCCCTAACAGCAAAGGAAACAAGGTGTGGATGCCACAAAGCTTATATAGAAAATGAATAAGAATTACAATAATTAGGCATGCCAAATTTATTCTAGGCAATTTGATTAACCATGTTAATCATATTCTACAATTACCTGGTTCACACATTATGTTAAGTCCAAATCAAACTGTTACTGGTTAACATGTTAATCAGTGAAGTTTTCCTTAGACCCTTTTGTGACTTAAGAGATTTGCAATAAAGCTGGTCATTCCAAATTAATTTTGTCAGCTTCTTTTTTTTTAATCTCTTGGCGTGGCATTGTTGCTCATTACAGTTGACTATTTGAAATGTAAAAGTCACAAAGCAGTGAGAAGAAGCCCAGCACAGAGAGGAAAAGCACCGACTAAAACTGGCCTGAAAAGCAATGGTCTAGAACTATTCCATATTCGAACACCTCCAACTGGGTGTTTTGATAGCTGCTGGTGCTGGAATTCATAAACACCTCTGGAAGTGCCTGTCATTTGGGAAAAGCTGCACCACAGTTAACCATACAACACTCCCTCCCCCTAATTTACTGTAAAATATTTGACCTCTCACTATGTCTGTGGCTAGCACAAATCTCCCTGTGTTAATAATACAGAGGGAAGGTAAAAAAGAAGAACAGCCGTGCAAAAATGCTTCATGCTACTGAAAAAATTGAGGAAGGTCAGCCTATGCTATAAGGCTCTTTTGGACAGACAGCAAGCGGCAGCCGCCTCTACGGCACCAGCCCAAATCCAGTGGCCGACTAATCAGCACCATCCAGCAACATAAGCACATTTTCAGATGGCATGACTTCCTAAATTTCTAGATTTCAACCCTTGGTAAAAGCAAAGAAGAGAACAAGGAGAGTTTTCCTTACATCATTACTAGGAATGCCAATGTTACAGATTAGCAACTACGGTACACATGTAAATGTTTGAGCGTGCCCAAATGAGCAATTGTAATTCCTGGAGACCTCCTCCATCCAATTTTGAGAAGCAATGAATGCTATTTTTAGATTCACAGAATCAAAAGAATAACAACAAGGAGATAGAGAACAAGGAGATGCTCAACCAATGCAAAGCAATGGATGCCAGGTGATTGAAAGATTATTCCCTAAGCAGTGGTTAGACGGATGGAAGAAGGAGGGGAAACTACAGGAAGGGGAGGTTATAAAACTTGAGTTGTGGCACAGAGGGGCCTACGTTTATTCAATCTTAATTTAAGCAACCTCTGCTTACCATGGGGGCAGAATAAAGAGCTCCAATACTGATCTATATTTCTCAGATTGGAGATTGTGCTTTTCATTCCATTAAGTTAAATGAATTGAATGGACTGTTTGAAAACTACAGGATGGTGCTGACAAATCAGAATCTACCGTGTTTTCCCAAAAGTAAGCCCCAAGTTGATTTTTGGGGGTGGGCCTAATATAAGCCCTTCCCCAAAAGTAAGCCCTACTTAAGACCCTGCGCACAGGCTGCCAGTGCCTCTGCGATAAGGCAAAGCTGGGGGGAGGGGGATCTGACCCACATGCCCAACTAACCTACGGTATACCTTATCATCGCCTCTCATGCCGCCCGGCTTGTTCCACGGCCGGTTTTGGCCAGCCATGGCCATTTGCTGCATTGTGTGTTGCGCCTGCCAATGCCATTGCCATGAGACTTGGCGGATCCCCCCCCCTCTGACCCATGTGCCCTGCTAACCAATGGTATACCGGTCCCTTACCGCCACCCTGCTTGTTCTGCAAAAAAAAAAAATCTCACGAAGTTGGAATGGATGGGGCGTTGTCTTACCTAAGCGCCTTTTCTCAGCATGATGATGGAGAATCCACGAATGGGTTAACTCTGTCTTCCTGCCCAATTAGACTAAGTCTGTCAAACTTGCCACACCTCTCCTGGATTAGAATACCACCCAGTCACAACAAAGGCGAAGCTATTGACGACAGTCCAACGTGTTGGCTCCCCTACCCCTGACACAGGACCTGACGGACACTAAGGGGTGGGTGTGGATTCTCCATAATCATGCTGAGAAAAGGTGTTCAGGTAAGACAACGCCCCTTCTCCAGCATGAAGATGGAGAATCCATGATGGGACATACCAAAGCTGCCCTGTCCCTATGGGAGGGAATCAGTCTGGGCCTGTGTCCCACTTTGTGGCACTACTTGCTGGAGCACTCTCCGGCCAAATGAGGCGTCTGCGGAGGCAAACCTATCCAGCTTATAATGCCTCACGAATGGGGAAGGCAAGGACCAAGTCGCCACCCTACAGATATCCCCAATGGACGCCTGTGTCGCCCACGCCACGGATGTCACAGCGCTGCGGGTGGAGTGGGCAGTGATATGGCTTGGGACTGACAGGGAATGCGACTGATATGCTCTTGCAATGCAAGCTTTGATCCACCTGCCTATAGTGGAGGCCGAAACCTTCTGCCCCATGGAAGAGGGTTGAAAAGAGACAAAGAGGGCTTCCGACTTGCGAAAGGCTGAAGTTCGCTTAATGTAATGGCATAATGCCCTGCGAACATCCAAGGTGTGCCACTGATGTTCTAAGTCATGAGATGGACGAGGACAAAAGTCTGGTAGGATCACTTCCTGCATCCTGTGGAATAAGGTATTCACTTTAGGAATAAATGATGGATCCAATCGAAGGACCACCCTGTCATTATGAAAAATGCATATATCATCTCTGACAGAGAGAGCTGCCAGTTCCGAGGCGTCTAGCCGGCGTGATGGCTATCAGGAAAGCTACCTTCATAGTTAAGGACCGCAGTGTACAGGTCCTGATGGGTTCAAATGGCGGTGAGGTAAGGGCCTGTAAGACCCGCGGCAATTCCCAAGAGGGATATTGATGAACCACAGGCGGTTTGGTGTTAGTCGCTCCCTTGACAAAGGAGCGCACCATGGGGTGCTGAGCCAATGGCTCTGAATTGTCATATGTAAGCACCGTGGATAGAGCCGCCACCTGTCTGCGGATAGTATTGGGCGCCAAACCTTTGTTGAGCCTCTCCAATAAATTGAGAACCATACAACCTGAACAATGAAGAATAAGTCTGAGAAACTGGAGCCAACTTTTTTTACGTCCTTCTGGGCATCAGACTAAGTCGTGACTGGGTGGTATTCTAGCCCAGGAGAGGCATGGCAAGTTTGACAGACTTAGTCTAATTGGGCAGGAAGACAGAGTTAACCCATTCGTGGATTCTCCATCTTCATGCTGGAGAATGATTGATTGATTGACCTTCCCCCCCCCCACAAACTTCTTTTGTTTTCCTGCACACAGTAGCGAAGAAGCGTGAAAGAGAAACCTGACGGGGCTGGAAGTCAGGTAAGCAAAGACATGCAATTCCTGGGGGAAGCGAGGGCATCTGGGTGGTGGTGTGGCAAGCTCTCCGGCTCCGCAGCGGCAGAGAACTGTGATGGAGCTGCAAAGCAGGTGGCAAGATGCTGAAATGGGCCCATCTCTGACCCGCAGCTGCCCAGGTCCGCCGGAGGGAAGGCTGACATCTACCAGCACATATGGTAAATGCGGCAGCATTCTGGTTATGGTGGCTAAGGGACAGCCAGCATGGACACTGACAGAAGTATGCCCGCTCCCTCCGCGAGCCTCTGGCACTCTACCTGCCTCTTTGGTCCTGGGCTGCCACCTCCCCGCTCACCTCTCAGGTGCACCCGGCCAGGCCAGGAAGGTGGCTTCCCCGGATCCCAAGGGCAAAGGCCCCCCATTCTGGCCAGAGGAGCATCAGCCTGGCCACCCCCACCTTGGCACCCTTCCCACTGCTGCCCAACAAGGCCATCCCGGGGCTGCAGGGGCTGGCCTGGCATGGGAAAGGCACATGACCCACCCTGCCCGCCCACACCAGTACTTGGTCCGCCACCATGCTCACCGCCTGCTGATCTCCATGTCTTCCCCCATGTGCAGGCTACTGAGAACAATGGGCCAGAAATTATTCTTAGGTGGCCCCATTCTTTGCAGCCCAACTGAGCCCCATTCTTGACTTTTTTCACAGAGACTTTGGCCTCATGTTCCTTAGTCACACAGGAGCCTTTGCAGCAAATTTCTCCATCCAGGCACTGCATTCAACTCAGCCTCTCTGGAGCCTACAGGCTAAGACACTTCCTCTTCCATTTTCCGCAGCAAATCTTATTGACACTGATTAGCGCCTACTTACATAAAGTTGTCCAATTGCTTGTGAAAGAGAAGTCATTAGCACACATAATCCTTTTCACAACTTGGGCATTTCATTAGCAACAGCTGAGCTTTTCAAACATATTCGCACACCATCAGGAAACTACTATGGATAGTCAGTTAGGACTTGGAAAACCCCATTGTAGAAAAATGAAATGGGTAGTAAGCAAGACAGTGATGGCCGCAATGGGAGATTTTGTTGGATGATAAACAAAAATACTGTGCTAAGTTTGCCAAAACACAGATATACTTTTTTTTCTCTTACAGATTTTTCAAAACCAAAATTTGCTCCTCGGTACTCCTTTCTTTTTTGTGACTTGAATACTACAATGAGAGATGTTGGTAAACCTAGAGCAAACTGAAAAGGTTTTTTAAAAACTCCCTAAAAATTAGCCTCTTAGCTGCGGTCAAAATATAAAACACAATTAATAACAATGTTTATAACATTTTCTTAGCCAAAGTGAGATTAAAGTGATAATGTTAACAGCAGAGAAAGAGATGAGAGAGAGACCTTTGTCTTCCAGAAATTCTAAGGCAGGATTAGCATTCCAGGGGGATATCACTACAAATACCAATAATCCAAACCACAGAGTGGGTGGTGGGGTATTTTAGCAGTCTTAAACAACCTGTGATCCATTGGATCATCACTTTAGAGATATTTCCTTACCTAAACACAGGGGGGGAGCAGTGGGAGCAGCAGCGACTTCCAACTTCCTGCTGTCTTTCCCACTCACTTTCCTTCCTGTTATGGAGGATTGGAACTGATATTCACAGAGCTTAGAGCAGCAGCACAGCGGCAGTGAAGTGGCCACAACTTTGCCAAATTTCAATCCCACGGGAGTCATAGTTTCCGGATTTTGAATAAGTTAGCCCCCCCCTTTTGGGTTATGTTGATTCAAAGATGCCGTTGCACGACTGCGCCCAGTTGAAGGTTACAAACAACCAAACAAATGCAAGAGTTTTAGGAATATATAGTTAGCCTAGAATCAAGTTGCCTATCCCTGCCTTAAGATTTTCTAAGCAATTATTTATAGTTAAAAGTGAGCGCACATTAAACTATCAGATAATAAATAATTCTACGGAAGATCCAGATTCCACTGGTTACTTGTGAAATTTTGGGAAGGTGGGTCGAGGAGAGTGGAAAAAGTTAGAAATAAACCATACCATTTTCTTGGCAGAATTATGGAAGTGGTCTGCATTTGCCATTAGTAACCAGTATTTCTTGCTGCTGTTGTTGTTCTTTATAGTCCAAATGGTTGGAATGTTTCCTGATATTAATATTCTGAAAGTGATATCCCATGCTTTTCTTGGATTAGATTAAATGGACTTTTATTTCCTATAAAGTTTTGGCAATGCAAAAATTGGTGGAAAATACAATATGTAAATGTAACGACACTGATTCAACACACAACTTGTGCAATTCAAGAGGCAAGAGAAACTGGCATTAAAAAATAAAATAAAAATCAACATGGAACTTTTTGTAGCTTTTCAATTTACACAGAACTGATCCACAAATAAACAAGGAATGCCCTCAAACACATACAAGGGCTTTAACTATTATTATTTAACTTTAACTATCACAGCTGTGCTGTTTCACTTTTATCACTGAACAGTAATGCAATTTGGTGGTAATGTTTTCTCCACTCCTGCTCTAACCACACAAACATAAAAGCTGAAACTGACAAATTATTGACTCCTAATGGTACTCCTGTTAATCAAACCAGGGCTTCCCACTATTTCAAGGAAACATCTCTTTATTGCTAAAAGAGGTCGCCAGACAGGCAGGCAACAAAACTGTCCCCTCAAGTGTCATGTGGCAAAGCATCTGTTGCCTTCATTGTACACTTGTCAAATATTCCTCCCAAGTGGTTATTTTACCAGTGCTACAGGGCAACTACCAGCTGCTTGGGAAGAGTGTAAATGCTGATAAGGATTCTTCAGCACACAGTTAAAATTTAGTACAGTAATGATATTAATATATATATATATATATATATATATATATATATTTACATTGAATGCTTTTTTCTTTTAGAGCACCCTGTCGGCCCAAATATGGGAAAGAGAAGTCTTTTGCCTGTATCAGCTCAGCCTAGAGCCATCCACAGGCAGCAGTCGCTTAACTGCGACATCATATGTGTTTTCCAAAATTTGAATTGCTAACAAAGAATTAAGGGAGTACTGGGATAGCTATTTCAAACCTTATTTGGTTTTCATCAGCCAGACATACCCTTCTGAGATTCGAACCTGGGCTGTCTGCATGTTAAGCAGAGGTGTTAGCCACTAGGCCACAGGCTCTAGGCTGAGCTGATACAGGCAAAAGACTTCTCTTTCCCATATTTGGGCCGACAGGGTGCTCTAAAAGAAAAAAGCATTCATCCTCTTCCCCTGTCTCTTGTAGCTAACAAAGTGAGAAAGAGCCTGTGGCCTAGTGGCTAACACCTCTGCTTAACATGCAGACAGCCCAGGTTCGAATCTCAGAAGGGTATGTCTGGCTGATGA